CAACTTGCCCCAAAATGAAACAAAATGAAGCGGCTCGTTTCCAAGTGCATTCGGGTTTTATGTTAGCGCCGGATGTACTTGAAACATATGTTTCCTTCCCTCTCATAATCCGTTGCATCTCGGTTGCATGAGGCATTATTTTTCTTTGATTTTCTTGGTAAAATCTAAAGAAAATCAAGATACTTGGATGAATCCGGTCACAAATGTATCTCCCAAGTGATCGTTTTTTACCATTAGTGATCTTTTTTTTTCTTTTCATTTTCCTACAAAACTCGGACGCCAGTCCCTTCTTGTGTCAGTCCCTACTGACTTTCTCCCTCTCCTCCCTTTTTGTCTCATTCTTACTTTCTTTTCTCTCATTTTTCTTTTCATTTTCTTTCTTTTTCTGACATGTCAAGTGTCAACTAGTTGTTGAGATTTTTTCTAGACCCTACATCTTGATTTAGGCCTAGTTCATGCCCAAGGTGCAGTAAGTTAATTCTCGGACTGCAATTATGGTACCACCTTACTCACGAGAGCCCCATTTTGCCACCGTTTGCTCCAAACTGTGACCCCTCTTACTCCGGTTTTCTCTTGGTAAGCTATTTTTCTCATGGGGCTTTTCAAGGCTCCATTTTCTTTAGGGTGGCTGGTCCGAGATATTTCAGATTGCAGTCCACACCCTTCTCCACATTTCTTTGCTTCCTTTCTTCCTCTACGACTCTTCCGCTTGCTCCAACTAATGCTTGCACTAGTGATGCTAATATTTTCGGCCGTGTAGATCTTGATCTCAACGACAGATCTTGCTCCGAATATTTATTCCTCGTGTCGCTCCATAGTTCCTCTTTGGACAACTCAAGTCCCTGGTATTTGTCCTGCACTAGTCGACGGTATTTGTCCCGCACTAGTCCCCGACACTTGTCCCACACTAATCCCCGATTGATACATGCCCAGTTGGGCAATTTATGCACAACCAAGGATCCGCAATGTGATGAAAAGGACAGAATGAACAATGCAATGTTAATGAAACATCAACACGCAATGTACACCCTGATACATACAAAATGGCACAAATAAGCGCAGTGAAAGACTTTGAGATAAGTCCTGACCTGACCGGGACTGACGCGACACCCCATCACTCACCAGACATGTGAGAGAGGAGGAGGGACCACACACATAGAAGCAGGGTCACCAGCCCGTACGTACGGAGGTCCCCAGGCAGACCTCCGTCCGTACGGGCGTTCGGGGTCCCGTACGGGGTCCGAACCCGATGGCGTTCGGCCCCCGCCAAAACTTGTTTCGGGGCCAAAAAATAATTATTTTTTTCTGAGTTTTTTTTGTGAGTTTTCTATGACGTGAGGTACATGCCTTTAAATTTTCAAGTCATTTGGCTAAGCCAAATAAGAATTAAAAATCGCCAAAGATGGCGGTGTCAAAACGTGCTCGTCCACGTATTTTTTCACTTTTTACTTTTTGCTTTCACTTTAGTTCGTGGTCTAAACAATTTTATTATTTTTTTTAAAAATTTTAGTGGGTTATGTATTATGTGAAGTACACATCTGTAAATTTTCAGGGCATTTAGCTATGCCAAAAACAAAATGAAAAATCGCCAAAGATGGCGGTGTCGAAAACATGCTCGCGCACTCACTTAATTTAATTCTCTTTTTATTTTTATTTATTTTTATTATTAGTATTTATTTTCCGTATTTTAATTTTATTTCGAATTTGGTAAGGAATTCGGATGTAATGCTCAGGCAAAGCTTGTTTAATTTATTTTTCTCCATAACATATTGTTTTTTCAGATTTTTTTGATGACCGTTTTTTTTTTTTTTTTTTTTTTTTTGGGTCCGCGTTCGGCTCGAACGGCCGAACGCATCCCCAAGGGGTCCCATACGTTCGGGCGTTCGGGTTCGGGCGTTCGGCCCGTCCCGAACGCCGGTTACTCTGCATAGAAGAAAGGTCCCTCCTTTGTATACGCACATGGGGAAATACCACAGATGAGAGATGGGGGGAGAGGAGAGACGAAGATGGAGGCGAGGGAGAAGACCAAGATCGTAATAGCGAAGTCCAAAAATAGTCCCTTGCCGATGTCCAATCAATGTCTGCCTCAGAAATGTCAAATTAGATTCTGGGCGCTCTGCCCATGGTAACCTCTGCCTGTATCCTCTGCCTGTAACCTTTCTCACTCTCGTATCAGAAGGAGAAGGTGAGAAGGAGGAGGAAGGAGGAAGAAGGAGGAGAGAGGGAGACGAGATGGAAGACGAGATGGAGGACGAGAAGGAAGAAAAAAATGTCGCCCTCCTCGTTGTCTCACCTGCAGGTAACGGTCGCCGTACTGACTGTCGTGGTTGTCCTGTGCAGGTACCGTGTGGAGCCCCAACTATGGCGCCAGGTAAGTTCGCCACTACAGGTATGGCCTCCGCCTCTCCTTCCCAGCCTTGCAGCGCAACGCCCAAAATAGCACAACCTCTAACCAGTAGCATGTCGCTCAACAAGTGAGTAACCCGAATTGTCCCCAACCCCGCCTCAACCCAACTATAAGTAGCGTTGAGCCTTCTGGGCGTCCTCAGGTACTGGCCTCAAAACGACCTACTTGGTCTGGGCCCCTACTGGGTATCCAGACCACGCTGCTGATGCAGTGAGGTGCCAAAACGCGCCTGGCCTCAAAAAGGCCTTATCCCTAGCCGAAGGTGTTCCCTTGGGGCCTTTAAGTCCGAAACGACATCTGCACATACAAAAATAAGACAACACATAAGTAAATGGATAAATAAATAAATAAATACATAAATAAGTAACTTAGTGCTGCCTTAGGCTGTGTTTGCGGGCTAAAAGGCCGCCGTGGGCCTCCAAGGTGAGTGTTAGATGGCATGTGGTCTGGGGCCCCTCAGCAACCGTTGGGCCCCACAAATGGGGCCCGTGTGCAGGCGCAACATGTAACACCCCCCCCTCCTTATGAAGTCAAGCCGGGTCGAGGGCGAAGCTGACGATCTGAAGGTGGAACCTGGATGCGGGTGCGACATGAAGCCGAAGATACCGGCTTGCCTTGCAACTTGCGTTCGTAACGTGCGAGAACATCCGGAGTTGTTGCCTGCAGTTTTGCACGGGTTAACCAACGGTCAGCTTTATCGGTGCAGTACACAAAATGTACCAAGTATGCGATCGGCCTGTTGCCGTAGCGTGGCTGGGAGATGATATCGCCAACCTCTTGAAAAACGTCCATAGAGGGTGGGTCTTGCGATCATCGCCCGAGAAAGTCGTCATGTTCCGCTGGCGTGTAAAGAGCCAACTTGGAGATGTGAAAGACCGGGTGGACGGGCAAGTGGGCGGGCACCTAAATGACAAATGAAGGTCCTTCGGGTGCATCCCCAGCGGGTGCCACGATCGGCCAGAACCCCATCCACTTCGGGAGGAGCTTGCGAGAGATATCTTGCTCGAGGCTGAATTCCACGGTGGAGACCCATACGAGGTCGCCGGTGCGGAATGGACAAGGAAGACGCTTTCGATTGGCTTGTTGGCTCATACGTTGCTGCGTCTTTGCCATCTGGTCGCGTACCTTGACAAGTAGTTATTGCATCCGACGCAAGAAAAGAAGATGGTCGTTGCTCTCGGTCGCCCGTGGGATGATCGTGTCCAACGGAGAAGTGACCGGTGAGCCGTGCTCGAACTCAAAGGGCGATATCCCAATAGCAGGATGAAAACATATTTTGTATGGTATAAACATCCAGATCATATTATAGATATCCAATATATGATAATTATCATTATAATAATAATTATCATAGTGTATATCTTTCAACTCGACATCCGGCAGCCACTCAACCCAATCCTTTTGGTCGGGGCGGATGAGAGTGCGAAGGAGAACCTGTGCGTTCTGATGCGCCCTCTCCGTTTGGCCATCGTTTTTGGGGTGGCGAACCGAACTCGGCTTGAGAGATGAGCCTCATCGTTTGATGAGTGCCGACCAAAAACCGGACATGAACTGAGTCTCGTGGTCGCAGACAATTTCTTTGGGGTAACCCTTGGTTCGAATCCAACCGGCGTAAAGAACCTCGACCAACTCCGGTGCCTTGGCATGATAGCGGCAAGGCAGAAATATGGCGAACTTGGTGAGTCGGTTGACCACCGTGAGAATACCATCCATTCCGGTCCTGTGCTTGGGGAACGGCCCGGTGATGTCCATGGCAATCGCTTCCCTTCGGCGTAAGGGGACCCGTAATGGCCGGAACTCGCCATACGGACGATGATTGCAGGATTTGCAGCGTCAGCAAAACTCACATGAATTGCAATAGCGTGTGATGCCGCCGAGAAGGCCGGGCCACCAAAATCGCTCGTGAAATCGGCCAATCGTTCGATTGACTCCAAAGTGCCCGGTGGTGGGAGCGTTGTGAAACTCACCAAGAGGTCGCGTACGCAAGTGAGAGTCACTTGGAACGCAAAGGAGATCCTTCCCCCATGTGTGGACAAGCAAGTATCCCTCTTGGATCCGGTAGTGTGATGGCGCTGGACTAGGAGAGGAACGATTCACATACATGTCGCGAAACTTGGGGTCGGTTTGGTAGCCGCGGATGAAGTTGTCCCGCAGGTCATTATCTATCTCGAAGGTCGAATAGACTGCGGTGCAATGATCCGAACGCCGTGAAAGAGCATCCGCAAAACGGTTTGACTTCCCCTGGATGTGATCGGGAAAGAAATCAAACTGGTCGATGAAAGACATTCAACGTGCGATGGTGCTATTGTTTGTGTCTTGGATCTTGTAAAAGACTAGGCGATTGTTGTCCGTTACCCATCGCAATTGACTTCGACCTAGGAGGAAGTGTCGCCACTGCTTGAGCGCGTGGACGAAGGCTAGGAGCTCCTTTCGTGCATCATCGATTGAGTGCACGACGGACACTTTCTTGTTGAAGTACTCGACCGGGTGCCAGTCTACGCCATCGTGTTGTTCGAGGACGACACCAATGTCATAGCCTGATGCATCCGTAGTGACGTGAGTTGGCAATAGCAGGTCGTAGATGCACAAGACCTCCGTGGATAGTAACACGGCTTTGGGGGCCAAAAATGATCCTCGTGCATCCTCACCGAAGTCGAACGACTAATCCTCGCATTGAAGCTTGGTTAAGTGGGCCGTGATCTTCAAGTAACCCTTGATAAAACGTTGGTAGTAGCCGGCAAGGCCAAGAAACGAACGGACATTCGTGACGTTCCGCAACTCCGGCCACTCTTGGATGGCTTGAATCTTGTCCGACAACGGACTTATACCCTCCGGTGTGACAAAATGGCCCAAGTACTCCAGCTCTTGCCGGACAAGATCGCACTTGTCGCGGTTGACTTTGTACTTGGCATGGCGGAGCGTCTCCAACACTCGTCGAAGGTGCTCAAGATGATCCTCCAAGGTCTGGCTATAGACGAGGATGTCGTCTAAGTAGACCATCACAAACCGGTCTAGCATCGCACGAAAATTGTTGGTCATTGGCGCTTGAAAGGTCGTCGGGGCATTGGTGAGGCCAAAAGGCATGACCACCCACTCAAAATGCCCGTACCACGTCTTGAACGTGGTTTTATAGCGATCATTCGAGCGCATCGAAATCTGGTGATAGCCCGACCTCAGATCCAACTTGGAAAAGTACTTTGCGCCGCCCAATCGCTCAAGGAGATCGTCAATACGAGGAAGAGGCCTTGCATTCTTGACGGTTTGCGCGTTGAGCTTGTGGTAATTGATGCACAATCGTAGATCCTTGTTCTTCTTCCGTACGAAGAGAACTGGCGCTCCATGTGGGGATCTACTAGGGCGGATCCAACCCTTGTCCAACAAGTCGCCGAATTGTGCGCGGAGGACCGTAAGCTCCTCCTCGCTCATCAGATAGATGTAACCTTTCGGCGGCACGACACCGGCCTGAAGAATGATCTCGTGAGAGATCGACCGATCGGGGACCACACCGGTAGGTGACTCGAAGATGTCGACGAACTCGTCGAGCAACCGCACCACACGGGGGTCCAAAAACAAGTCCGTGGATGAAGAGTCAGCTACCACGACGCTCCGTAGGAAACATAGGCCTATCTCGTCAGGCTGCTCGTAAGCACAAGTAGCCCGGAAGGACTTGGTCGTCACCACTTGGCACCGGACTGAAGGGTGCGGAAGAGGAATAGTACACGGTACTTCAGTGCCGAAGGCGTCCCGGACGGTAAGAATCCACCGGTGGAAGTTGACCGTATTATCCGCACTTGCAAGCAAAGGCATTCCCAAAATGATATCGAAGTCCATGTCCAAAATGTCAAATGTCATCAGTTCACATGCATGAGGTGCGAAATACATCGGGATGGCCTCGATGTAGCGGTCGAGAAGTTGTTGCGTCTTTCCGTCCGCCAACTTGGTCACCGTTGAGTTTGCCTTCCTCTAAACTTGTGCACCGAGGCCAGACCTTTGCATAAAGGCTTGGCTCATGAAATTGCGAGTCGCGCTGCTATCCAGCAAAGCGATGCAGGACGCTTGCCCAACTTGGATGCAGACATAGAGGAGCGGTGCGTTTTTGTTATCGTGCCGCTGCAGTTTTGTCATCATACCGCTATGTGCGAAACTCGCGGGCCACCTTGGTAACATACGCAAGGATGTCCCCCACCGCAGCTTCGTCATCCGTCAACGAAGTTGGTGGTGCATAGAACGATAGGTACGTGTGAAGATGAGAGCATAGTATTGCACATTGCGGTCCCGGCAAGCGGCCCGTGGTAAGGAGAGGAAGCCATGCGAAATCCTCGGACATGAGCGGGTCCAATACCTCTATGTTGAACTCGCGCGCTGAATCCCATGAAGAACCACTTGAAGACGATAGGTCACCGCTGCCGGACGGAGAAGATGCCGCACACACATCTTGTCCTTGAGCATGAGTACCCAGCGTAGGAGCGAGCCGGGCAACATATTCCTCAAAAGAATATAAAAGAGGAGGATTATCGACTTCTGCATGTGCCTCGGAACGAAGGGCGGTCGCCCACATAACAACAGGTTTCGAAGGCGTCGAGAGTGTCGTCGACTCACTCCCGGTGGTGCTCAGTTTCCCGACTGTTTGCCCTTGCCTTTCAAAGGACAACCCACTGTTTCGTGAAGATTGTTGTTGCACCACAAACAATAGAGAAATCTCGTGCGTAGCTTGTATACGCGCTCCGAGAGACCATAGTGGGTCCATGGATCTTGAGCTGCTGCGCCGGGCTCGGGTTTTGACGTGGTGTTTATCTTCGATTTGCCTCGTCCTTAGCCTTTGCCAGGGTGGCCACCATCCCGGGCGGATGCGAGTCTGTCCCCTTCATTGATAGACACGGCCTCGCTTCAAGGGTCGGTCAGCGTTGCCGCCACGACCACGGCCACCTTCGGCCGATGTTGTTCTCTGCTTGGGCCTACCGCAGACGAACGGGGAAGGTTCTTGGCCTCCGTGTTCATGACAATAATATGTGCGGCCTTGTCGAAGAGCTCCACTGTTGTAGAGAGAGTCTCCACAACGTGAGTCAATGTGTTGGATAGTGTCGGACACGACCTCGTAATGAAGTAGTGTTTGATGGTCGTAAAGCCCGTCGGTACGTCCGGCGTTGACGCCAAGCGTTGGAATTCGGCAATGCAATCGCTGCTCGGCAGCGTGCCTTGTTGGAAAGTTAGCAATTTGTCCATTGCTTTGATTTCTGGCGGCTCTATTTGGAACCGCTTATGCCATGCTGCCTTTTGATCATCCCAACTGATCTTGGTATACAAGTCGACAGCCACCACCCCGTACTTGGACAAGAGATTGTCCAACCACGCGTGGCACGCGCCCCCTGATTGGGAGTACAAATACACGTATTTCTTCTCTTCGCTGACGTGGTGGAGCTGTAACTTGAGCTCGAACTTGTGGAACCACGGAATTGGGTCCGTCTTCGTCGAGTCGTAGAAGATCTCCTTACCATCGAAATTCGGAGTCGTTTCGCACGGTGACATGCTCGAGTTAGTGGTGGCACCGCAGATCCGCTGCTCAAGTTGTTGAGTTGCGGTTTGCTATAGTTGCGCGTTGTTCTTGAGTGCTCCGACGCCGACTACCAATGCATCGAGGCGATCAGAAGTGTTGGAGGAGCTGGCGACGGGGGCGGCAACGGGTCGTTGCTCCAGCTGTTGTGAGAGGCTGCCAACTCGCTTGACGTCGTAGTGTGGGAATGGATGTCCTCCTGTTGTGCAATGCACGTCGCCAGAAGGTCCATGAAGTGGGAGAGTAATAGAGCGATCTTGAGTTCATTGTAGCTTAGTTCACCATCCTCGGCCTTGGACCGCCATTCCGCCGCCATGTTCAGTAAGACTCGCTCTCCTCCGAATATCTTCTAGTGTCGCATGTTGCATTCCTCGTCGGCAGCCTTTGCTGTTGCCTCGTCGTGCTGGCGCTTCTATTCGATCGCCATCATACGTGCTTTCTCTACATCCTCGTCCTTCTTCTTCTCTGCGGCTGCTACCGCATCTGACCGTTGCTTGGGATCGTTGATCAAGATCTGCATTCAGGCCTGATAGGCCTCGACCGTTTTCCCTGGCTTCTGGTCCATGATGGCTGTTTGAGAGCGCGTAAGCATAGACCAGGCCAGAGGACTGCTGACGTGGCACTGCTTGACTGCTGACGTGGCACGGTTGCCGACTGACATGTCGCTGACGTGTCATTGCTGACGCGGTTTGCTGATGTGGTTTGCTGACGTGGTTTGTTGACGTGGTCTGCTGACGTGGCTTGCTGACATGGTCGGCTGACGTGGGCTGCTAACGTGGTCTGTTGACGTGGCCTGCTGACGTGGTCTGTTGACGTGGCGTGCTGACGTGGCAACTCACCAATGCCGCAGTAGGGGGTACCCGAAGACAGATGGAGAAAGAAAGAAGGAGGGTGCAATAGCATAGGTGGGGGGTGGGTGGGATTGATCACCCAGATAAGGAGCCACTAATAAAAAATGAAAAGTTTAAACTTTGCAAATTGTTTTTGAGAAATCAATACTTAAAAAAAACTCGGTTTTTGCAAGTTCAATAGGTCTCCCGATCCCCCTCACATTCGAAATTATTAAAAAATTCGAATTTTCAGACTGCAACGAATGATACGAATGAATAATAATTACGAAACTGCAAAAAATTGTACGCAAGTTCCAGTAATCCCGAAAAATAAAAGATTTGGAATTAGGTCAGATCAAAGTGTGCGCCGAAAATTTCAAATTGGAAACTTGACTGCGAAAGAGAAGTTTTATGTTAAAGTAAAATTTCATAATTGAAACAACGAGAAATATAAAAAAAATATAAAAATTATGAATCTTGAAATAATGAAAAGTAGCTAATTTTGAATTTTCCCATTACTTATGAAATGCGTGAAAATAAAAGATCAACACTGAGAAGATTCCCAAAAAAATTTGGAATTAATAAGCGACTGATAATTCCGGATTTTCTGAAACAAATAGTCCAGAAAGAAACGAATAACGCAAATTATTCCAAAAGAATTATTTCGTCTTTATCAAGCAACGAATTTTCGAAAGTTTTTGGGGACTAATTAGGATGACCTAATCAATCAATCAATCAATCAATCAATCAATCAATCAATCAATCAATCAATCATTCAATCAATCAATCAATCAATCAGTCAATCAATCAAACAATCGGTCACTCAATGACCAATCAATTAATGATCAATCAATCAATCAATCAATAAATCAATCAATCAATCAATCAATTATTCATTCAATCAATCATCCATTCAATCAATCAATCACTTAGTCAATCAATCGGTCCCCGCACACGTGTCAGATCAGGTTGTCCTGATTCACGTGCGGGCTCCGATACCAACTGATACATGCCCAGTTGGGCAATGTATGCACGACCCAGGATCCGCAATGTGATGAAAAGGACGGAATGGACAATGCAATGTTAGTGAAACATCAACAGACAATGTACACCCAAATACATACAAAGTGGCACAAAATAGTGCAGTAGAAGACTTTGAGATAAGTCCTGACCTGACCGGGACTGACGCGACACCCTATCACTCACCACATATGTGAGAGAGGAGTAGGGATCACACACATAGAAGAAAGGTTCCTCCTTTGTACACACACATGGGGAGATACCACAAATGAGAGATGGGGGGAGAGGAGAGATGAAGATGGAGGTGAGGGAGAAGACCAAGATCACAATAGCGAAGTCCAAAAATAGTCCCTTGCCGATGTCCAATCAATGTCTGGCTCAGAAATGTCGGATCAAATTTTGGGCGCTCTGCCCATGGTAAGCTCTGCCTGTAACCTCTCTCGCTCTCGTATCTAAAGGAGACGATGAAGAAGATGGAGAAAGGAGGAAGAAGGAGGAAGGGGGAGGAAGGAGGAGGAGAGAGGGAGACGAGATGGAGGACGAGAAGGAAGAAGAAGATGTCGTCCTCCTCGCTATCTCACCTGCAGGTAACGGCCGCCGTACTGACTGTCGTGGTCGTCCTGTGCAAGTACCACGTGGAGACCCAGCTATGGCGCCAGGTAAGTTCGCCACTACAGGTATGGCCTTTGCCTCTCTCTACCTCCCATGCCTCTCCTTCCCAACCTTGCAGCGCAATGCCCAAAATAGCGCATCCTCCAACCAGTAGCGTGTCGCTCAAGAAGTGAGCTACCCGAACTGTCGCCAGCCCAACCTCAACCCAACTATAAGTAGCACTGGGCCTGCTGGGCGTCCTCAGGTACTGGTCTCAAAACGGCCTACTTGGTTTGGGCCCCTACCGAGTATCCAGACCGCACTGCTGATGCAGCGAGGCGCCAAAATGCGGCTGGCCTAAAAAAGGCCTCGTCCCTATGTACCTGGCCCAAGGCGTCGCCTTGGGGCTTGTAAGTCCAAAATGACATCTGCACAGACAAAAATAAGACAGCATGTAAGTAAATAAATAAATAAATAAACAATTGAGTGCTGCTTCAGGTTGTGCCTACAGCCCGAAAGGCCGCCGTGGGCCTCCAGGGCGCGTGTTGGATGGCATGCAGCCTAGGGTCCCTCAGCAACCGTCGGGCTCTGTAAATGGGGCCCGTGTGTAGGCGCAACATGTAACACCGACATTATTCCCACACTAGTCCTCAACACTTGTCCCGCTGGTGGTCCCGTCGGCACACGTCCCATGGTGTGATTATTTTTTTCTTGGTCCCTCACGGTCCCTGACATCACTCCACGTGCCGTCTCAATTTTATTCGGGACTCCCTCGTCCCCGACAGCCCCAGTTTCATCCTACCGATGCGTCCAAGTGTGCCGATTATTCTTGGTCGTGTGATTTTGATCTCACGGTCGCCATTCATCGTCGTAATTTGGCCTTCCATGCTTGGCGTCAAGGTTCAATTTTTCATGTCCTTGACACTCCCTTGCAGTCCGTTACATTTCGGAGGGCAATGGTGACCTTTTTCCTAGCCCCATTGCCCCCATGCTTGCCCAAAACTGAAACAAAATGAAGCGGCACATCCCCAAGTGCATGCGGACCGAATACTGGCTCCGGATGTACTTGAAACATGTGTTTGCTTTACTTTTTGTGGCCCATTGCATCTCGGCCTACCTTCTCCTTGATTTTTCTTGATTTTCTCTCTGAAAATCAAGAATAATGCAGATATTGTGTAACCGTTTCATCCTGGGATGAATTCGGTCACAAAATGTATCTAAAACATGTGTTTTCTTTTGCTCCAGGTGTCCGTTTTTGTCCCAACTGCATCTGGTTTTGATGCAGTCATGTTCAAAGCATCTAGGCCTCTTTTTGGGAAGGGGCAAGTAGGCCATGATGTGATGGCTTGTCCTTTTTTCATTCCCATACTCTCCTTCCTCTCCCAATCTCTCTCTAGGCCCTTTTCTCCTCACCTTTGCTTTCCATTTTACTCCGGGTCACACTAGAACCTTATTTTTCAAGTTCAGCATACTTGGGCTTTCCACTTTCAAAACCCTTGTGGTCCGTTGCATCCCCTTTGAGCCCCTTCTCAATTTCAAGGTCTAGGGGCCTCGAAATTCAGCCTCCCCTTCTCTTCTTTTAGCCCTTTTTTATTCTGGCTCCCAATGCCACTTATTTTACAGGCCGCCTAATGGCTTGGATGCTTGTTTGGGCGGTGCCTACTAACCCTTTTTGCTTAGCCCATGGCCCTTAGGCTTTTCTCCTGCCGAGTTTTCGTGGCCCCCTCGATCACGTGCTTCAATCTCATGTGCCCGTGTCAAGACATTATTTTTCCTGTACGTCGTTGGCCCCCTTCTACCTGCGGCACTCGGCCTCTGGGTATTATTTTCTCGGCGGTCCTCCTTCTTTGAGAAGGGGGGTCACCTTTACTAATTTTCTACAACACTTTGCCGGCCCCGACTATGTTGGTCTATTCCTGGTCCTAGGGCTCTGATGGTCTTGGGCACCCTCCTCGGTCCTAGGCGCCGACACTCCTGCCTTAATCCTTCATTATTTCTGTCTCTCTTGCTCCCTCATTTACACACTTTAGCTATATATCATGTTTCAAGGGTCGGAACTTGATTGGGGAACCACAGGTCCCGGCAACGGTCCTTGCGCAGAAGGAGGGGAAAACGTTGAGGCCGATCGAGTCCATGGGCAAAAAGATGCCATCTCATAAATTACCGCTGGTCCATTGGATGCACTACCTCCTAGGCAAAGTCTTTTATGTGAGATCTGACCATGAGATGCTGCGCTGGATTAAGACACAACCCATGCTCTCCGACGCACTCAAGAGGTGGATTGGAGTCATAGACATGTATGACTTCAAGCTTGACCCTCTAAAGGGAGAGTACAGCAAAGTGGCTGATGCAGTATCGCGTAGGGCAAACTATCTGGGCACGCTAGTGACTGAGTTTGAAATTTCTGACGATGTAACTCACGTGACCAAATTTTCCAACTCTGGCGAGCCAATCTATGGTGGAAGCCTATCGTGAGGACGCGGTCATGTCTGAGATCATTCACAAACTGGAAGCTAAAGAGAAGGTTACTACCGATGAGTTTATGCTGGTTGACGATTTGACGTTCCCTGAGAAGGCTGGGAATAAACTATTGTGTGTTCCGTATAAAGAGTCCTTGCGCAGTCTCTTTTTAGGTGAGTGTCACGATGCAACCAGACATTTTGGGTATAAACGACAACAACAAATTTTGTGCAAAACTTTTGGTGGCCCATAATGATGGATGATGCGAAAACATATGTCGAGACTTGCCAGGTTTATCAATGTGACAAGCAAAAAACTCAGGTTCAGTTTGTATGCTAGACTTATCGCTATGTCTAAGACAACTAGGATTGACCACGTCATCAAGCTATTCATGGACAACTAGGTACGTGACTTTAAGTCTATTGTGAGCGACAAAGATGTGAGGTTCACTGGCGAACTGTGGCAAAATACAGCCCATCAGATGGGCACTAGACTGCAAATGACATCAGGGAACCACTCTGAGTCAAATGGGAAGGTCGGACAGATGAACCGTGTAGTCAAGCACTTGCTTCGACATTTTATGAAGCCAAGTCAAGATTGAAACGGTTTTCACCTTTTAGCAGTAGCGGATGCAGTACCCAGGGTTCGATCCCTAGACCTCACCCTACCCATGTACAGTATTTGTGTAGGCCCCGAGAATTGAACCTGTGACCTGTGTATTCGTAGGCAGTTGGTAGACCTGTCGTAGGTCCATAGACAGCAGGGGTTCGATCTGTAGGTCTATAGCGTAGGAGTCTTAGTGAGTTCTGGAAGCTTAGCTGTAGACCTTCTAGAAGGTAGGCAAGTGGGCAAGTGGTCAAGTGGTGAGGCAAGTGGTGGACTAAACCGCAGTGCAACAGCAGTGCAACGGCGGTAGGATAGCGGTGAGTCCACAGTCAGTCAACGGAAGGTCCAGTCAGTCCCAGTCCGGTCCAGCAAGTACCACAGGGGTTCATTCATTCCTGCGTGAGCCATGCGGAAGTGCTGCCACAACGACTTGTGCAAGGAGGTCTGCAGATGAGCCCGGAGGACGCAGTGGGCAAGAGAGGAGGAGTTAGCATAGCGATAGGTTAGAGGCAGCCATAGCTGCCATAGCTGTAGTTAGTAGTGAGTG